ATCAAGGTTCAGTGATCACTATATATATTTTTTTTTTTTTTTTTAAGAATCGTGGTGACCTCTATGGTTAGTGGATGACTGGGGTAACATGAGAGAGGCATCTTGGGGCATTGTTCATGTCCTGAATCACCATTATCTGAGTGTTGGTGTATAGATGCATTCATTTTGAAAAAAAGTCAAACTAAACAGAATATGCATTTTTTTCAGTATAAGTTTACACTTAAATTTTTTAAAAAGTCTCCAAAAATTTTAGTCATGATAAGATCAACAAGGTGGAGACTGGAAAGGGATTCGAGGTGAAAGACTTTTTGCTTGTTGTGCCAAAACTGGAAATTATAAATAGGTAACAAGAGGTGAATGGGGTGAGTCCACAATTTAACGAGAGGGGTTAGCTTAACAAGAATGACTCTTCTGTCCTTGAAAGAAAGTTTGTTAGTGAGAAGCTAAAAGAACTGCCATCTGATGACTTCTATTTTCACTGTGAGGTTGACAGAAAGTAAAGTCCTATGCTAAGAGTAAGTGTGACTTTTAGGGAATGAGTAGAAGACAGCAACTAAGAGGACAGAAGTTTGGAGTGACTGGAAATATTTGATGTACAGAATAGGCAAACAGATTAATGAAGCAAAGAAGGAAATTCTGGTAACACTGAGGGCCCAGCTGGTTAACAAGCATGAATTTATTGGGGCACTACTCTATTCTGCTATGCAATTTGTCTTTTGTAATGTTCACCACCTCCCATTTGAGTTTGGTTGCCTCCAGAATATCTTGAGATATTCAGTAGGGAGTGAGTTTGAGATTAGTGCATAGCAGAAGGACAAAGTTATAATGGGGAGAAAGCAAGATTCTGGATACATGAAACCATGGCTACAATTCAAAGCCATGAAGGAAGAGTCAGATAAGATGACCAAACATAAAATTTTAGGGAAGACTAATATGAAGGAAATTCCCCTGAAGAAAATTCAGAGGGTTGGGATAAAGAGACAGAAAGTCAGAGAATAATGATGACCTTAGCAAGAGTAGTTTCATGTAATAATGGGTTAGAAGAAGACTAGATTGAGGGTCACAAGAGAAGGCAATAACTGCAGGGAAACAGTGAAATAGAAAAAAGGAAAACTTTTTTCTATTCTCTATATTTTTGGTCTGTTTCCCTTTTCTTCTTTTTTGTTTCATTTTTTTTTTTAAGATAAAAGAGACATGAGCTGGCAGAAAGAAGATACAGAGTTAAGAGAAACAATATGTAACATATGAATAAATTGCAAAATATGAGGGTTCACTGAGAAATAATCACATTTTTTGGTTTACTTTGGCCAAATTTTTAAAAATTTTGTCCATCACTGTCACTTACCATGTTAAAAATTGTGATGTCCAATATACTACCCTCCAGAAAATTGGCATGATTCCATCAGGAATGTAACTCCATGGCTTAAAACATGGATGTTGGCTGTTTAATAACAATTTAAAGCCAATTAATCACAAACAATTTTAAGTTAAATGAATTATATAAATAATTTGTGTGTGGCAAAGTTCATTTACATCAGGTTAATAATTACTGATTTTCATAAAATTTCAGGAAAAAAACTTAAAATTCAAAGCTGTCAAACAGAAAAAATGTACATGATACAAAACAGTTTGTTCTAAAAAGGAATGATTATAGTTTTCAACTTGCATTGTATTTTTTTAATATCTTTATTTTTTATTTATTTTATTTTTATGTGGTGCTGGGAATCAAACGCAGGGCCTCACACGTGCGATGCAAGCGCTCTACCACTGAACTACAACCCCAGCCCCACTGCAGTGTATTTTTAATCATTGGGTAAAAAACTCATCCCAGTTGTAGGGTTGGTTATGTTTTGTTTTGCTATTACTATCTAGCAGAAGGGGTCGGGCAAGAGAAGTCATTAGGTGATTAATTCCTGGAAATTGGAATGTAAATTATATTAGTCACACCGGCATAGCTCCTGTGGACATGCACACAAGCATCTGCTTGAATTTTCTGATGATGAGTCTCTGACCATAGATTCTTCCACTTAATAATCTTCCTAGAGTGTGAGAATATCCTTTAGTCTAAAGACTTTTAATGCTATAATTGCTTCTGGTCTATATCTAGTTTTTCATGGTTCATCAAAGAGAAAAAGCATATACACTTTAAATTCACTTTTATTCAAGTTAGAATATTTTATAAAAGCTGCAAAAAAACCACACAAATACTAAAACACTGGTAAAAGTCTTATATCAACATAGACTCATTTTTTTTACTTGGAAATATAATATGAATTCAATATAACCTTTTGACAATTTAAATTTTATTCATTCTTACTGCGAAAGTATGATGTTTTAACAGGATATGAAATATGAAAGGAGTATCTTACATAGAGAATAACCCCCTTGTTCTTTATAACAACTTTGTAAATTAGGCAAAAGAGAAAATGCATACTCTTTTATTTATTTAGTAATGGTGCCAAAATCTAAGAAAGTCTAGGCTCTGTTTTTTAAAATATTTTTTTAATTGTAATGGACCCGATAGTTTTGTTTTAATGTGGTACTGAGGATCAAACCCAGTGCTTCCCACATGCCAGGTGAGCACTCTACAACTGAGCCATAACCCCAGCCGCTCCATTTTTTGGATATGAGACAGACTAAGAGGAAAAAGGTTTTGGAAGGTACACATTTAATAAGAGGAAGAACCAGAGCAAACAATTAGTTTTTTTTTCTTAAGCTCTCACTATCATCTACTGAAAGGCCCTGTGTAACAATAAAGTTTAGATTTAAGTATTTATTTATTTATTTATTTATTTTTTACTTGAAAGCAAGTTTATTCTTAGTTACTACTGGGTTCATAAACATAATTTTTTTTTATTTTTTATTGTTGGTTGTTCAAAACATTACAAATTTCTTGATATATCATATTTCACACTTTGATTCAAGTGGGTTATGAACTCCCATTTTTACCCCATATACAGATTGCAGAATTACATCAGTTACACATCCATTGATTTACATATTGCCATACTAGTGTCTGTTGTGTTCTGCTGCCTTTCCTATCCTCTACTATCCCCCCTCCCCTCCCCTCCCCTCCCCTCCCCTCCCCTCTTCTCTCTCTACCCCCTCTACTGTCATTCATTTCTCCCCCTTGTATTATTTTTCCCTTTCCCCTCACTTCCTCTTGTATGTACTTTTGTATAACCCTGAGGGTCTCCTTCCATTTCCATGCAATTTCCCTTCTCTCTCCCTTTCCCTCCCACCTCTCATCCCTGTTTAATGTTAATCTTCTTCTCATGCTCTTCGTCCCTACTCTGTTCTTAGTTACTCTCCTTATATCAAAGAAGACATTTGGCATTTGTTTTTTTTAGGGATTGGCTAGCTTCACTTAGCATAAATCTGATAGAAGAAAAAGCTGGCTCCCATCTACATATTGTGGGGTCGGGCTCCAAATTCCTTAATAGGACACCCATAGCACAAGAGTTAATAACAAGAATCAACAAATGGGACTTACTTAAACTAAAAAGTTTATTCTCAGCAAGAGAAACAATAAGAGAGGTAAATAGGGAGCCTACACTCTGGGAACAAATCTTTACTCCTCACACTTCAGATAGAGCCCTAATATCCAGAGTATACAAAGAACTCAAAAAATTAGACAATAAAACAACAAACAACCCAATCAACAAATGGGCCAAGGACCTGAACAGACACTTCTCAGAGGAGGACATACAGTCAATCAACAAGTACATGAAAAAATGCTCACCATCTCTAGCTGTCAGAGAAATGCAAATCAAAACCACCCTAAGATACCATCTCACTCCAGTAAGATTGGCAGCCATTATGAAGTCAAACAACAACAAGTGCTGGCGAGGATGTGGGGAAAAGGGTACACTTGTACATTGCTGGTGGGACTGCAAATTGGTGCAGCCAATTTGGAAAGCAGTATGGAGATTTCTTGGAAAGCAGGGAATGGAGCCACCATTTGACCCAGCTATTCCCCTTCTAGGTCTATTCCCTAAAGACCTAAAAAGAGCATGCTACAGGGACACTGCTACATCGATGTTCACAGCAGCACAATTCACAATAGCAAGACTGTGGAACCAACCTAGATGCCCTTCAGTAGACGAATGGGTAAAAAAAATGTGGCATTTATACACAATGGAGTATTACTCTGCATTAAAAAATGACAAAAATCATAGAATTTGCAGGGAAATGGATGGCATTAGAGCAGATTATGCTAAGTGAAGCTAGATTTAAGTATTTAAAGCTCAGATTTAAATATTTAAAGTTTAGAATACCACATAATAAAATAACTACTAGCAAAGAATGAAAATGGGAAGATCAGTAGAAAATAACTTTTCTAAATACACAATCTGGATGATAAAAACTGCTAATTTTTAAGCAATTTTCTCTACAATAGTTACATTAAAAAAAAAAAAAGAAAATGAAATACATACCTTGGAACTGGGGTAACAATTGCTGTACTGTTATTTTCAGGAGGGCTGGAATTTGCAGCAGCATGCCTGCACCGGTTGTATATTGTCTAAAGCAATGAATACATGGTTTAAACAATGAGAATCAAAAAGTTACCAAGTACTCAAGGGATATTAGAGTTGGTAAATCTGCCTACCAAAATTTACCTTCCTGGCTATGCTGTTTAACAATCAAATTCCTAAAATAACATTTAAATTCTAAATATAAGTATAACCTTATACAATTCAGCTGTCTTAAAAATAATATATCTCAAACAAACTGCACAATTACAGTTGCTTTCTAAATTGCGAAAATTTGTTTCGCATCTTACCGTACTAACATCCAGAGGCAGTATGAAGACGATAAGAAAGCAGAGATACCAAGCAAGCAGTGTTCCAACAATTACAAGTCTATGCTGTTTCTTAAAGTCTCCGTATCGATGAAGTAGGAATAATGCCAGAAAAAAGACAAAAACAATCTCGAGTCCCAAAGCTGCACCACTCATTATTGAATGTTCACTCTGATGAACCAAAGTTATTCATGTATGCTTCTGAACCATATCTATTCACTGAAAAAAATAAAAAATAAAATGTAGCATTAAAACTGGAAGTGACCATTTGGAAATGTTCTAAATATTTACTAACATATTCATAGCCTCTTTGGAAAACTGTCATGCTTTACATTGGACTATGAATAAGATGAAGAGGATAATTCCTAACATTAAGTCCTATATCTTACTTTTCAAAGCACATCTTAAAAATTTCATATACAGTTGGGCACAGTGGTGCACACCTGTAATCCTAGGGACTCTGGAGGCTAAGGCAAGAGGATCTCAAGTGTGAGGCCAGCCTTAGCAATTTAGTGAGACTATCTCAAAATAAAAAATAAAAAGGGCTGGTTGTGGAACTCAATGGTAAAGCACCTCTGGGTTCAATCCCCAGTACTTAAAAAAAAAAAAAAAAATTCACATACATTGTATCTTCATAAAAAAATTTATCTGACAAACGTCACACAAGTTCTTAAAATATTACAAATTAAGAAATTCTCTTTTTATATATTTTTTAGTTGTCAATGGACTATTTATTTATTTATTCATTTATTTATGTGTGGTGCAGAGTTTTGATATAGTGTCATTTGGGAGTTTGTGTCTTAAGTATTGACAGAATATTTTAAACAAACATGCTATCCTAGGAAATTAGGATCCTAGGAAATGGAAATTTAGTAAAATAACGTTTTATTTCTTTCTTTTTTCTTTTTTTTTTTTTTTGCAGCAGTTTTATACACTCTTTGGGGAAGGCAAGGACTTTACATACATCATAGCATCTCTTAGCAAATCATCACAGACCCCGGGAAAATCATAAAACAACTCTAAAACATGATTAGCACATTCACTGGCAGGAACGAGTTGGGTAGGAGTTAGTACAAGAGGTGGAATTCGTTTTCAAATAAAGTTTTCTAAGATGATTCATAGCCCATAATTTAATATTTTCTAAGACAGGAAGGAAGAGAGAGGAACTAATGGGAAGAAACCTTTCCTTTGTTTAAAACATTAGTTTCCTTTTTTTTTTTTTTTGCTAATATTTTCTAACAATTCAACTTCAAGAACTTGAAATTTATTTATTTACTGTTTTACAATATTATTTGCCATTTATCTATGTAAACCTTATTTTCTTTAGAGAAAGCCATTTTACCTATTTTATGTGCAAAAAATCATCAATGCCACTGAATAAAATCATACATTTGAAAATATTTTAAAATGTATGATAAATATTGATTATACAGATGTCAGCAAGACTTATTCAATATCTCTCCACTCCTAAATAATTTACCTTTACTAACTGAAGGCAGTTAAATCAATGTTAGGCATATTTGCTTGTCTATGGATGATTACTGATATTTTAACATTGAGAATAAATATCATAATGCCACCCAACAAAATAAAAATAAAGCAGAATTGATAATATAATTCAAGTGTACAAACCTCTCCAGCCAAAACTAGTTATAAGAAGAGTAAAAGTTTGATTACTTTAATGGACTAAATTAACTCTACATGAAATATCACAAAAATCACATTTTAAACTATTTTCTTCACTATTTATTTATGTTGTTGAAGTGACTTCTTTCCATTCATCTACAAATTTAAAACACTAATATTTTCAGTTTTCCTAAATGTATAAAGTTGAACCCCTTTCATTGTTCTCTATCCCCTTATCTTGTGACATTTTCCCAGTATGCACTTATATCTACCTGATACATGTTCTTTGTATACATTGTCTCCCTTTATTTTTCCTTCCCTAGATTCCAAGACAGTAGCACTTAACTATTTTATCCATACCATATCCTAAGTATCTGGAGTTGTGTTTGGCATATAGTAGGTATTCAAGAAATATCTGTTGAAGGAATAAAAGAATGAATTAAAAAAATTACTGTATACTTTAGTATTTACACAATTTTTTTCTATTTCTGCTCATTTCAAAGGCAATCTTTTTAAAGCAAGAATAGATTAAATATTTTACTGAAAGCTCAAGGTAGAATACACTCATGAAAACTGTTAACCATCTTCAAGATCCAGCTTTAAAAAAAAATCATTTAGTGTGAAATTATTGTTTAAGTGCAACATATTTATTGTGTGAAAATCCCTTAGTTTGTCTGAGGTATTTATTTACCTGAAATTGTCCAATGCAAAGAATATGATAATCAAATCATAGGGAAAAAGACTGAATATTATAGATTATGAAAAAAATGCTAAATGATAGCATCTTACTGAAAATCACCCTAATATTAACTGAAAAACTAAATACATGCAATTTTACATAATATGCATAAAAACAATAAGACAACAATGACATAGGAAAAACATGGGCATAAACAAAAAACAAAATCATAGTTATAACTTGCCACTATTACTTTTTTTTACTATCACTCAATTTCTCAGTCTGATTCACAGTACTTTAAAATGATGTAGACAAATAGAATTATGGATCCTTTATTCTAGTACTAAAGAAATTATTTTGTTATATTACTTCTTATATTCAGTGTATTAATCTCCTATCACTGCTGTAATAAAGTGTTACAAACTTAGTAACTTATAAAAACACCAATTTCTTATTCATAGTTTCTGTGGGTCATAAGTTCAAGCACGACACGGCTCAGCTGAGTTCTATGCTTAGGTGTCAGTAGGTTTGCATTCCTCTCTGGAGAAGAATCCATTTCTAAGCTTATTCAGGCTGTTGGTAAATTCAGTTATTTATGGTTATAGAACAGAGATCCCTCTTTCCTTATAAGCTGCCAGTTAGCATTTGTCCTTAGCCAAGAGGACTCTTCCCAGCCTTTGCATGTAGCCCTGTATATGATTTTTTAAAATTATATACATTTAAGGTGTACCACATGATGTTTTGTCAATATACCATAATTAAACTAATTAATATATCCATTTCTTTACATAGTTACCTTTTTCCTTGTCTTCTTTTTTTTCCTTTTGGTGGTCATGTATATCTTAGAGCAATGGCTTGTCAAGTCATTCTCAAAAAGTGATGTCCTCTTTTGCCCTAAGCTGGGAGAGGTTCGCCTTTCAGGGCTCATTTGATAACACTGGATCCATCTGAATAATCTAACTATATTTAATGGTTCCAGAGATTAGGAAATAGACATCACTGTGCGTCTATTATTGTGTTTACCACATTATCTATTTTTCTTCTTTTGTCTTTTTTAATATTTATTTTTTAGTTGTACACAATACCTTTATTTTGTTTATTTGTTTTTATGTGGTGCTGAGGATCAAACCCAGGGCCTCACACCTGCTAGGCGAGAGCTCTACCGCTGAGCCACAACCCCAGCTCTTCTTTTGCCTTTTTATGACATAGGTGAGGCCTACTGGTCCCATGAAATTGGAGATAAAAACTGGAGTTTCCCTAACTTGAGATGAGAATATAATAGTTTTAAATTCCATATCTTTGAACTTATATCTAAATTCAAGTGAGGAATTTTTATAGCACAAAATGATAATACTTTCTGGGGTTCCTTATGAATTCCTATATGTTAACTAAAACAATTTTCTATTGAAAGATAGGGGCATCTTATTCTCCATGTGATTTAGTTATTTGACATTAAATATAATTTCTTGAAAATTTTCAATTAAAGTATAATTTAATAATAAAGATTAGAAAACTCAAGCCTAGATTTAAAAAACCAAAACCTCATTGCTAGAGGGGATAACAACTTGACAATATGTATCGAAAACCTTTTGAAAAGTACATATCCTTTGTCCTAGCAATTCCTTTTCAGATAAATTATTCTCAAAAAAAAGATAAAAAAAGACTTATCTTCCATGTTATTTTTCATTGCAGCATTAAATATAAAAACAGGCCAACTTAAATATTTGTACTAAATAGTCCATCACCATTGGCCACAGATTTTTTGAGAAAAACAGTCATGGGTTTTAGAACTTATTATCCTGATGCTCTGACCATGACTGACAGGAGCAGGGACCCATGCTTAGTCAAGGGTTACTTAACTATGCAGAGAATGACTAAAGAGAGCACGAGAGTCCCCCACTTAGAAAAAAGAAGAGATCCAGAGAGACACATTAAGAGATATAAAAAGTGATAGAAGTAGGGAGTATACACAAGAAACACACACATATGCATGGACAAACACACATCAAAATGCTGACAGCAGTTGTAACCGTGTAGTAAAGAGATGATTTCTAATTTCTTCTTTGTGCTTTCTTGGATCCATGTATGTTACTTTAGTTTTAAAAAATGGAACTATATTATTTTATAATTTTAAATTTATTTAAAAATCAATGTAGTAATATGAAGGTAAAATACACAGAGAATGAAATTTTTTTGCAGGGTGTTAAGTATCTAACATTACAACTCTTTTAAAATATAAATGTTTTCTTATACCTTAGCAAACCTGGGTTTGAAATTCCAACTCTATTTAGTACTTGTATAACTTTATGCAACTTATGCTGCAAAATGAGGATAATCACCTCACACAGGTTGCTATGAGGATCAAATGATATATAAAAGTAAAACACCATGAAGGAGTTCCAGGCATTAGAATAGGTACTAAATAAATGCTAGTTACTAAACTTTGTTGCTTTTGTATGAAGGGCATTTAGGAGATTAGTTGCCTCAATGATCTAAAAGAGTAGTTTTACCCTAAAAGGTTTACTCTCAGTTCCCTCAAAAAAAAAACAAACAAACAAACAAAAAAAAACTACAAAATAGAGGCCAGGTGCACTATTGCAGGCCTATAATCCCAGTAGTTTGGGAGGTTGAAGCAGGAGGATTTCAAGTTCAAAGCTAGCCTCAGCAACTTAGTGAGGCCCTAAGCAACTTAAAAAAAAATATTTTTTAAAAGGAATAGGGAGCTCAATTCACAATAGCTAAGCTATGGAACCAACTTAGGTGCCCTTCAACAGATAAATAAAGAAAAGGCCAAATGTTCTCTCTGACATGCAGATGCTAAAACACAAAAAGGGAGGAGAAGGGAAGTACAGAAGTTCATTAGATTAGACAAAGGGGAGGGAAGGAAAGGCAAGAAGGATGGGAAGG